GAGGACTGATCACCAAAATATACAATGAACTCAAGAAGCTAGCCACCAAAACACCAAACAACGCAATTAAAAGCTCGAGTGCAGAACTAAATAGAGAATTCTCAACAGAGGAATCCAAAATGGCTGAAAGACACTTGAGAAAGGGCTCAACATCCTTAGCCATCAGGGAAATGCAACTCAAAACAACTCTGAGATACCATCTTACCCCTGTCAGAATGGCTAAAATCAATAACACCAATGACAATCTATGCTGGAGAGGATGTGGAGAAAGAGGAACTCTCATCCATAGCTGGTGGGAGTGCCAACTTGTACAACCACTTTGGAAATCAGTATGGCAGTTTCTCAGGAAAATGGGAATCAGTCCATCTCAAGATCCAGCAATCCCTCTCTTGGGCATATACCCAAAGAATGCACACCCATACAATAAGGACATATGTTCAACTATGTTCATAGCAGCATTATTTGTAATAGCCAGAACTGGAAACAACCTGAATGCCCCTCAACTGAAGAATGGATAGAGAAAATGTGGTATATTTACACAATGGAGTACTACTCAGTGGAAAAAAAACAATGGAATCTTGAAATTCGCAGGCAAATGGAAGGAACTAGAAGAAACAATCCTCAGATAACCCAATCAGATAAATATGATATGTACTCACTCATTTTTTATTTTTAGACATAGAGCAAAGGATCACTAGCCTACATTCCAGAGGAGCTAGGAAACAAGGAAGATCCCAAGAGAAGATTGCAAAGTCCCTCGAAGAAGGGGATGGGGACAATAACCCCTGACCAAATTGGAGCCTGGGGGCAGGGAGAGGAAGGGGAGTCTTCACCCAGTTGCTGTTCGAAACAGAAACAGACACCCATAGCTAAGCACTGAACCATACTACTGGAATTCAATTGTGGGGAGAGAGAAGGGTTGAGCAAAGGAGCCAAGACAGGGATGGAGAGACCTGCAGAACAGTGGCCCTGACCTACCGATAGAATGGAGACCCTAGTCATAAAGCTGGGGAAACAGCATTGGACCTAACAAAGCCCTCTGAATGTGGCTCCCAGCTAGGAGCCCAAGACAGTCTATGGGACCTCTAACAGTGGAGCCAGTCTTTATCCCTAGAGCACAAACGGACTTTGGGAGCCCATTCCCTATGGAGGGATACTCTTGCAGCCCAGATACAGCAAGGAGGGTCTAGACCCTCCCCCAAACAATATGACAGATTTTGAAGGTCCATGGTAGAGGGTCCCACTATCCCTGGGGAAGAGTCGGGGGAGGGGATGGGTTGGGGTGGGTTGGGTAGGGAACACGGGAGGAGGGGAGGGTGAGAAATTGGGGGGATGGATATGTAAATATGAGTAATAAAAAATAAAAATAAAAAAGACAACCCAGGCTCTAAAAAAAAATAAGACAAAAAAAAAAGAAAGAAAACTCAGTAAAGTAGTGACTCCAGTTGTAGTTGCTGTTCTAGTTGTGGTATCCTTATCTGAGCATAGTAACACCTATCCTGGTACATGGTGTGCAGCAGCTACTGACCTAGAAAATGCCCTTTTCTAGGTACCTGACCATAAGGACCACCAGAAGCAATTTGCTTTCAGTTAGCAAGGCCAGCAGTGAACCTTTACAGTTTTACCTCAAGGAGATAATAACTTCCCCGCCCTGTCTTATAACTTAGTTGGAAGGGATCTCAATTACCTGTCTCTTCCACAAAATATCACATTGATATGCTTTATTGGTGACATTATGCTGATTGGACCAAGTGAGCAGGAGGTAGTAACCACTTTGGAATCATTGGTATCCCCCCCATATGCATACAAGAAGTTGAGAAATAAATCCAACCAAAATTCAAGAGCCTTCTACCTCAGTGAAATTCTTAGGAGTCCAGTGGTTTGGGGCATGCAGAGATATTCTTGTCCTGTTTCCTTACCCACTGGGAGGCTGTGGGACAAGAATCTATAGGGCAGGGCCAGCCCTAGGGTGTGCAGAAGACAACATGGGGCCCTGGAGACACTTGGCTATGGGCTCATCTCCTAGGAGGGGACAAAAGTCTCTCAGTGGTCTGTGAGTCTCTGCATGTGCAAGTCAGCTACTTCCTACCGTTCTTCAGGACAGCCATTATTCTGATCCCGAATTGCAATGGTCAATATTGTCAATTTGACAGGATCTATAATTTTCTGGGAAACAGCCCTTGAGCATGCCTGTGAGGGAGTCCTTGAGATGGAAGACTCGCCCTGCATATCCATGGCAGCATTTCATGGGCTGGGTCCCAGACCGAATAAAAAAGAGCAAGGATGATGAGTGCCATTGTTCATCTCTCTCTCTGCTTCCTGAGTTCGGGTGCAGTGTGACAGCTGCCTCATGTCCCCGCTGTCACCCCTTCCCCATGACAAGGAACTGTGCTGTGCCCCTGTGAGTCAAATAAACCCTTCCTTCTTTCGGCTGATTTTGCTGCAGGTCCCAGAAAAGTAACAAATGCACCATCTATCCTCCTTGGCAGACCCTGATCATGTGGCTGGCTTCCTGCACATCTGTCTCTGCTGTGGTTCAGCACTCTATACCAAAGCATCCAGTATCTGGGCTGCCTGGGAGCACCGGGTACCTTCCACCCACCCAACAGAGTTATTTCACCTGCTGGCAAGTCCTTCAGAAGGCCACTCAGCTCCTCCTCTCAGCAGGAGTGCTCCAGGACAGACTGCCTCCCAAGCTATAACTTGAAGTAGCCTGCTGGGCTCCTATCCCAGCAATCACTAATGTTGTGGACTCAGCAGTGTGGGGTCCTCACAGGGCAATCCTACACCCACCACAGAGCACTGTCAGAGCTAACATCAGCCAGGTCTGCCCAGCCAGCGTCTTTCAGGGCAGGGACGCCTCCCTCAGACAGCCTGGTGAGAGGCTGAGAGTCCCTGATGCTCCTCTAGGGTCCTTCACCTCCGTTGCTCAACAGCAGGGGGAGCATTTACCAGAATGTTGCAGGAAGTGTGGACCTTGATCCAGGGGTCTTGGATACCTGGAAGGAACCTGGGTTGCCAGCAAAGAAGCAAAAATGAGGCTGATGACAGGGCCTGGGACAGGCAGTGGAAGCCAGGCCAAAGTGCACTACAGATGAGGGGGTGTCAGTTGAGTCAGAGGCCATACATATTGCCATTTTAACTTTTTTTTTTTTTTGGAGAGGATTGGGATTCACATGCCATCATGAGAAGGAATTCAGGGTGATCCCCAGTATTGCCCAGCCACCCCCATGGTAACCCATGTCAACAACAAGCTCAAGTCCCAGAAGACACAGGTTGGTCAATCCTGCCCTGAAAGGTGATTGAAGGATGAGTGTGTGCAATGAGTAAGAATGTGTGAATGTGTGTGTGTGTGCATGTACATACATGTGTACATGTGTGAGTGAGTATGTTTGCTGGTATGAACATGTGTGTGCCTGTGAGTATGTGTGCACGTGTGCATGTATGCACATATGTGAGCGAGCATGTATGTATGCATATATAAGCATGTTTGCTTGCGTGAATATGTGGACATGTGTCTGTGTGAGTATGTGTGCATATGTGCATGTGGGCATATGTGTATGTGAGTGTATGTTTTGCTTGAAACACCAAATAAGCCCATTTGTATTAAGTAATTCCCAGGCCCTGTAGGCCATATTCTTTAGAAAGGTCAGTAATCCCTGTATATATATATATATATATATATATATATGTGTGTGTGTACATATATAAACATGCATGTGTGTGTGTGTATGTGTGTGTGTGTGTGTGTGTGTGTGTGTGTGTGTGTGTTTGGTGTTGAGCATTTTATCAGTTGTGTAGGGCTGTGTATCCACCACTGCTGTCCTTCAGTGACAGTACTGCTCAGCACAGCTGGGATCATATTGGTGCCTCCTTATAGCCACATTTGCTTCTCTTTCCTGACTCTCTGTCCTCTGATCTGCCCCCTTTCTTACAGTTTTGCTATTGTTCTTTTTATGCTGGCCCAAGCCCCTGGCTTTCTGCAGGCCGTCGCCTGTTGCAGGCTGTGGTCATGAAGGAAGCCGCTGTGAGCATCTGTGCAGCACCACCTGTGTGGGTACAGCGTTCACTTCTCTCTGCCACATGCCCAGTAGGGTCACTGTCAGCCCACAAACCACCATAACGCCACTGCTATCTCTTGTGTGTTCACCAACACGTGGAACAGAGCCTTTCCCAGCTGGGCTGCTATCACTAGTCCCCCAGGGAGTCTAGTCCCTGCTGGTCAGACAGGGACAGGTTCAGTCCAAATGAAGACTACCAGGCCTTACAGGCTTCCTGTATCCACAGAACCTCATGGGCCTGTGCCCTTTAAGAGGTGACTCCGGTGCCAGTCTCTGGGATGCTATGAGGGTGGTCTTTACTACCACGGATGCCACTCCCAAGAAAGTAACTCCAAGTGCCAAATGCTATATCCCCATACACATGCCCGTCTTCATGCTGAGTTCAAAGAAGGGATTTTATTTGGCAAGAGTCTTCAAAAATCAGGTGAGATCAGTTGGGATGCCTGGGTGACTTAAAACTAATGATGGAGGAGGAGATGCAGTCACAGAAGCAGTGAGGACAGAGGCAGAGAACAGGGAGTTGTGACCACAGGCCAGCATCAGTGAGAGGATGCCCAGAGCTGGCTCCGCGATGTCTGGATCTCAGGTCTCTGGGCCGTAAAGCTGCAGTGCAGTAAACCCCAAGTTCTATATTTTATTGAACACAGCTTTCAGGGTAGTTCCACAGGGCCAGGTTTCCTGCTCTACTCAGACACCCTACGTTAAGGCCCCACTACAACCTGATTCTGGGAATAGGTCACACAGTCTTCTACAAAGAGCTGGCTTCTGCGGGACAGCTCAGAAACAAGCAGACTGTGAGCTCTGAGTCATGCTGCTCACGGTCACTCTGAGATGGACCTCCCCCAGACTCTGACACTGGCTCTGCACTACCCTGTACAGCTCCCAACACCCTGTGATGCCATGTCTTGCAGATCAAAATTCACATACCAGAAGGCCTGACTAGTTCTTCTGTGGGATATCGTAGCAATTATCTGGGGGAGAGAAGGGGATGTCAGACAGCTTGCTGAGCCTCCCCTGACCTCCACCCTGATCCTCAAGTGTCTGTGCCAGGTACACCAAGCTGCAATGCTGCCTTCTCTGGACCTTTTCTGAGCCAGAGCAGGGAGCCTACCTTTTCTTGTCAAGTTGATGATCTTTTGAGAATCCAGTCCATATTTTTGGCAGATGTTTACAAATCTTTTTAGGTAAGACCTGTCAAGCTCTGGGATGCTTCCTGGGGACAAATTTGGGACTTTGTGTTGGGGAGGGGTCCCAAGGCACCATTCCATCATGTGTCTAGGGCCCATGGGAGACCCCCCTAGCAGACAGGTAGTGGGTTACCATAGAGAGCCAACACGCGGGTCTTAGTCCCATTCTTGATGTTCTCCATGTAGAAGATGACATACGTCCTGTAGTCAGTCTCTGAGAGCAACACCTTATTTTCCCCCTCATCTGCATAGAGATAGACCTCAGCACACCCTCTGCCTGGGCACTGGGGTACCCACCCTCACTTCTGAGATGAGTGTCATGTGACTTAGGTAACTTCTGTTAAGCAAGCATTGGAAGCAGTAGGAGTCTGGGTGCCCAGTGCTGGCTCAGGAGGAGGCTGTGGTATGGAAGTGTGGGTAGTAGGATATCATGGCACCCATCTGTCTGCCTGAAGATGGGCCTTTGTGTGCTGCCTCCACAAGCCTTAGCGTAAGACTCTGCCTCCCTGGTAGTTCCAGGCTAGTGATATCCAGAGAGAGGGCTGGCCTGAGGACCCTAGTCTGGTGCTCTTGTTTGAGGGGTTGGGTGAGTGCTCACCAGAATGGGCAAGGCCTCATCAGAAAAAATTCCTGGCTGTCAGAGCATGAAGGACAGGGGTTCCACTTACAGGCAACGGTAAACTCCCCGTTTTTCTCTGTCTTTTCACAAACCATGGCCACAGCTACACATTCTCCTTGCACCCTGGAGGACAGTGAGGGGAGGGGCTCAGAGCACTCACCAACTCCTCCCGGTGGCTTGGGTCATGGCAGAAGGTCATCGAGCCCCCAAGCCTAGTACCTTGGCTTCCATAACTCCCCAGCTCAGAAGAGGCCTTCCGTTTCTCACCAGAAGGGCAGAACACAGCAACAGGCCAGGGTGCCCCTGATCCCATCATGATGATCCCCAAGGGAAGAGCTGGTGACAGCTCACACACTGGCCCAGGTGTGCAGGTGTGTGAGTGTATGAAGCTCCTGTGGGGCATAGGAACAAAGTCTCCCCTAGTTTCAGCTTGCAGGGGGTGAGGGGTGGGGGTAACACGCACATGAAGAGGAAGTCAAACTTCAGGCTGCCGTTCTTTAAGAGATGGATATTCCGCATGAAGAGCCTCAGATCTCCGTTTTCTTCAATGCGTGTCATGTTGTCCGAGGCCATACAAATAGTGTACCAGTTCCTGGAAATCTGGAAGGAAAGGCTGAGTTATGGGAGTCCTGTAATAGCACTGGGGCTGCTTGGCCCTCCTGGCCACACTCCTGGGTGAGTCCCTGAACACTGGCTCCATGCTGGGATCTCCTTTTGCCTTCCCAGCTCTCCCTCTGCCTCATTCCTCCCTGGGCTCCTCTGCACCCTCTGGCTGCCATCATGGCTGGGGCTGGGAGGGTCTCTCATGGCCCAGACACCCTTTTTCCAGGTCAAGTGTCCCACCCAGTCAAGGGAGGACAGGTGTTATTCGTGAACGAAGCCTAGCCTAGCCCCAGAAGGTTTAGCCCACCCTGGCCATGTTGTAGTTCCTCTGCACGATGACATCCTGGTTGAACTGCGCAGCAGCAAGGCTCAGCACCAGGCCCAGCACTGGTAGTACTACCATGCTCTCCGGTGGACACCTTGGCCTGCATCTTCTTCCCTTATGCCCTTTTCTGTTCTATGGTTGACAGCCTCTGTGGACAGCCTATCCACACACATCCTGTGTCTGTTGGAAGATGGCCAAAGGCCCCCACTTAACTGTTCACATCCGAGAGCTGGCTGCAGAATCCACTTGAACTGAAGTGTAACTGGGTCAGAAAGCGACAGGGGAAATTGGAACCAACAGGGTTTGTCCATCAGGTCCCTGGACCCAGGCCAGCCTGCTGACACAATGAGCCCTTGCTCTGTCTCTCCAAGCTGGGGAGGAAGAACTCAGAGCTTAGGTGTTCCAGTCCCATCTTCACACCCTGTCTGGCCTCAGTGTTTATGTTTGAGGGAGTTTGGCTTCTTACAAGCCATCTGCAGGGCATGCAGTACAGGCCTGCAGCAGAGCCACCCAGTGGATGTCACTGAATGTAGGGTGTGACTCCAAAACTCCAGGAAAAGAACCTGAGTGAGGGATTGCTCATGAAGTCAGCCCCTGAGTGACAGTTGGGGGGTCCTGAGGCAGAATGACATTCTGGAAGCACACAGATACAGGGTCAGATGTGTCCCCATCCTGGCCGGAGACTGCTGTGGGAGGTGGTGGTGAGACGTGTCCTGGAAATGTCTGCACAGCTCTACAGGTGTGTCACAGGACTCCGGCTCCCACTGCCTCCGGGAACAGGTGCGTTGGTGGCAGTGGAGGGGAGGCATTATTCCTTTGAAGAAATAAGGCTAAGCTTGGCAGCCAGGACCGGAAGATCTCAGCCCCTGGGTAATCCAGAGGGCAGACACCCACTGGCTGTCATTTCCCTACTTAGGTGGTTCTGCCATCTATCTGCCCTGGGCTGATATGGTTCTGAGATAGAGGAAGGGGGCCCAGCTGTCCCTGGGCACCTGGCAGCTGTCAAACATTATCAACCATCACTGAAACCACATCAGTTAATGTCAACGATAAGATCTTTGACTTCTAAGCACCCTTTCTGTTAATCATTTTTCTATAAATAGGGTTGGGGCAATATGATTCCAGTGCTGTTGACTCTCCCTTGCTCCCCCAGCTGTTTTGAACAAAAGAGCTGTCAGTTTTGCATATATATATATATATATA